TAATGTTAAATATTAAATTGCTTTAGGCTTAAATATAACTAAAGAATCCTTAATTAATTGTAAATTTGGTCGCATACATTGAGAAAATACCTCCAATATTCTATATCTTATAAGATTATTAAATTGCATAAGAAATTTCATTCTCATTGTATTCTCCTTAGAATAGAACATCATAATATTTTATCCAAAATTCTTTGTTTAGCCAATTATGATTTAAGACAGTAATATTTTGTAATTATACTTCTTCAGAGGATATTGAAACAAATGATTAGGTGGAATTTGTCAAAGAATTTTTAATGCATAAAATGTTTTTCAGAATTATAATACTTTATTTTGTATCAAAATACATCAAGCTGGCTTAAGTTTAAGAAGGATCTGTCAAGTATTAATGGAAAATATTTTCTTCAAAAGTTAAATTAGTAATTGCTATATATAATTAATTTTTTGAGTAAAATTCAATTAAAGAAAAAAGTATGCCTAAATTCTATTTTAATAAAATGTTTCCCTTCATTATGGAATGTTTTATATATATAAATTCATTTTAATTAGATGTATCCAAAGGATTAGAATAAATTGATATTAATGATAAATCTACACTAAATTAACTTTTTACTTGTATATTCTATATAATAACTCTATTAAACCCAAAAATTTACAATAATTATGACTGAGGAACACAAATTTTTAAGCAATCAATTTAATAAGGCACTTTATATTCCTGAATTAAATTATCATACACTAAATTATCAATTTGTATATAAGGTATATCTAATAAAAATAAGAAACGAAAATTTGTTGTATTTTTTAGAAAAACATTTTTAATTAATAAAGTACCACAGTTTATTGTGATTAGAATATTTTCGTCCTAACAAGAAGGAGTATTCTCTTCAAAATTAAAATTTAATAATAAAAAGTCAACATTATTAAATAGTTATTTTTGTTATGTAATAAATACTGAAAAATTTTTTAGATAATTATTTTTTATAAATAAGTTTTTTATCTAAACAAGGATGATGTTCAATTGTTTCTTATTGAGAAACCATTTCTATATGATTAAGAAATAATGATAATCTTGATGGTGATTCATTTAAATTATTCGAAAATTATTAAGCATAATTAAATATGAGTAGAGATTAAATAAAATTATTTTGATTTAATCTATTATTTCCACTCAAATATAATCCACCTGCTTCATCTGCTTAATTATTACAAATAGCCGTAGATGATATTTTAAAGTTATAATCGCTCAATTCAAAATATATGCCACCTCCTTTCTGAGATGCTGTATTCTTAATAATATAAGAATTTGATATAAGAATTCTTAAATTTTAGACATAAATACCTGATCCTAAACTTCCATCATTAGAAATAAAAGTTGATTGATCAATTAACATTTTACCTTCCAAATTATCATTTGATTTAGCTGCTATACAACCATATTATTTTATTTTGTTTTTCATACAATATAAATCTGAAATTTTAATTTTCTCAACATTTATAATATCAAAATACAGTAAACCATTCCAACAATGATCACAGATATTATTAAAGATAATAATTTTAGTTAATAAGGCCCTTGTTAAATTTGTGATACTCTTTATTCTAATGAATGATCCATTTTGATTTGACTTTGAAGTAAATTCATCAAAAAATTTATCAACAAATTCTTATTTTTTAATTTATTAGATTATTTATTAATTGTTGAGGTTACATAGAACAAATTTTAAATGAATATGATCCTGCTTATCAAAAGTTAAATTTTTAGTTAAATTCTAATATTTGAAATCAATCAATTTTGAGATAATAATGTTATTAATAATGATTGTAGATTATAAAATATTGTTTTATTATATATCT